ACAATAAGCGAAACCCTTGAAGTAGCAGCTTTATGTTTTGAGGCTGTAAACCCCTCACACACACACGCCATACACTTTTCCAACCACCTGAACTCACGACTGTGTGAACACCGAGAGGTCTGAGTGCTGCTGTAGCTGTTAAAAGCCGTGCATACACTGTCAAATACAGCTGCAGAGGACACTGCGCTGAGGGGCAGGAGCAGGGTTCCTGGAAGACGAAAGAACTAATCGCCGAGGTGCACTCAGGCCACAGAAGTTTTATTCCGAATTAAAATGAAGGTAACTGTCATATTGTACTAGCGGTTAAATGACGCATTTGTTAAGTAAAATTGCTCTCATAAAATCCGCAAAATAACGAAGCTGTGAAAGGTGACCCGCGTTAAACTATTTTCAAAAATGTGACTGCTCAAGAATATTGAGAAAAAACTATTGCTATTCTCTTTTGTTCATACCATCAAAAAAGAAATCATTCTAACTGACTCAACAAAACGGGGGGAATGTTTATGGTGCAACACTGGCAAGCTGGCCATCACTGTGCGCCCTCTAGTGGTACAGCAAAGACATAACTCATACACCCAAAAACCCATTCCCTATACACCCAAACACGAGACAAAATGTAAAACAAAATAAACTCCCCGCTTACAGAAATCAGATAAACACCGGTGACGATTGACTTCACATAAAAAGTGCAACAAGTTAAATAAGAATAAAAGGAGTGATTCTTGTAGGTTGGGCTCAAGTGACGTTCTAAACAAGATTTTGGGACTTAAGCGTTGGCAATTGTTATTCATGTGTTGGCAATTTTAATGTTCTTTTGAATCATATCTCAAAAGGACAATATGAGCGGCCAATACTGATCCCAGGAGATACATCGGATTCCACTCAGCATCTGAAATGGGAAAATCTCAAATTCTCCCAGAGCGCGAACCCAACCTACTACTGGCACTGTGGGGCCCTCTGTGCTCGGCTCGGGACGGAAGAGGCTGCGTTCACGTCGCATTCTAGACCTGCGAGAGTTTCTGGCTTCATTGCGGGGAGAATCTTTGGCACCTGTGGTTAAAAAGTTTAGTATACATTTGAATCCTAAATAATTATGTGAGAAAACTAAGTCAAAATGAAAGACGTCGGCAAACTTTTGTATCCAGTACCGCCACACAGCTCTGTGCTCTCTCCAAGACATATTGTGCTTTTGTAGGTCTAATCGCTGACAAGTCCGTGCATTTCTATAATTAAACTAATTTGTGCCTGGCCCTTTTTGCAATGTAACAGTAAAGGCCGTTGCAACATAGAGCACACACAGCAGTAGGACTCTTATTCTTGTCAAACTGTTTGTGCGGCACATCTGAAATATTGGTGTATCGTAAACCAACAGGTGAAAAAGGGGATTGTCGGAGCAATGGTGACTGGAATAGAGGAGAATAAACTTAACTCAAACATGCACAAATTAGAGTGCAAAATTTAGACGATAATCAATACTTCAATAGTTTGCCTTTTTGAAAGATATGTCAAAGATGTGCTATTGTTTGAACGGACTGTAGTGGGACTAATAAGGTCACTAATAAGATAGGGTGTTGCTGCTTAAACCTGTCTCCACATGGACAAGAGGCACATGGTTCTGCGGCTTAAATTCACATGGGTTGTGAGGAGATGTCTCCATGGACCTCAATGTGAACTAAAATGACTCGTCCTCAGCTGACAGGGAACTAGAGCTTTCACAAAGGTTGGGGTTTGTGGGGATTTTAGTGTCCCTTGCCATCCTGCACTTTTTCTTTTTAAAATCCGTGGAGTTGCTGAAGTAGAACCACTGCGAGCATGCGCGAGCACAGGCCCTTGATTTGAACGGGCAGTCATCTTTGAAATCTAGGGCCTGCGTCCAATGAATATCCAGTTCCACACTAGTGGAAGTATTTTTTTTCAAACTGTAAACCTTCTTAGTGTCATGTCTTCCCCACCCAGGATTTCATATCACTGCCTCAAACTTTGCAACGTGAGCACAGCCTTCAAACGTAGTCAAATTGTAATATCACCGGGACAGCCATACAGTGTTTCGTGGAGATTCTTTGTCAGGAGCTGGGGAAAGGCCAGATGCGAGCAGAGCACAGAGGAGCCACTCAGGTGTTGACTTTCGCCTGTCTCCGGGGCCCCGGCTGTCACCCGAGCCTTCACATGGTCCCGATCCCTAACAAAAGGACCCCTGTGAGTGCTTTTGGGACGCCACAGGAGAAGCAGATCGTTTCGTAGCCCCGAGAATCCATCGAAAACAGTATATGCGTGTCGCAAACTCAAAATAACGTGGACAAAAGTCGGCCTGTCTTCATATTTCTGGTATCGTATTGCTCAGTTTTCATTCAGTGATGCGAGAGTCAAAAGCCCAGCCCTGACTGTACGCTCAGAAGCACAGTCCATCCCACTGCTGTTCAAATGGCTTGAAATCACATAATTGATTTGAAGGCCCATTATACTTTTAACATTTGCATTTTCCCAGGATAGATATGTTGTAAACGCCGCTGAAAAAGTAGAGGTCTGTGTTCTGTTTGCCAACACGGATTTTTGTCTGGAATTCTGATTATTAGAGCAACAGTTTTGCGCAAATAAGAGGGTAAGAAAGTAAGAAATTATGACTTTTCCTAAACAAATAGTCAAAGGTTTTCATGTGAGAAGGCTTATGTCTTTTGGTTGATGCTTATGATTATGTAACATCAGAATCCTGACTTTCCAAGATGAAAGCACATGGACACAGACCAGAGACCTCGAGGACATTATGAACGCAGCACGAATGCAGAGAATTTTTTTCTCTGAGATACGAATTGCTAAATGCAGCTCTGCCAACTCCTTCCCCAAAGACTTAGCCAAATGAACTGGTCCAAAGCGCAACGCTAAAGCTTTAGATAAATAAAAGTGATAGCATACAAAAGTTTAAAAGGATATGGGGGAAAACGATAAGCGACAAAACTTGCTCTTGCCTCTAGGGAAAAGTTTTGAATTGTTCCTGAACACATCACATTAGTATGAGAAACTGAACAAATTAACTGGACTTTTAACTTAAATTGATAAGTTACTTTTGCGCTTAGTAATTTCTCAAACTTAGGCCCTCTACTCAAGTTACATCATTCAAGCCATTTGAACAAATCTAGCGTTCCGGTTTTTGTAGTTTATCGTAGAAAACAATACATGTGCTCCATGGGACGTGCTCAGTCCTGCGTCCAGACTACCACACGTGAACAGCAGCTCCGGGACATCGGCAGTGGATGGGTCAGTGGATGGTTGGACATGACGGGAAGAAGTCCAGGAGACATCAACAGTATGAGTCAGGTCTGTGTATCCAGTGCTTTATCAAAATGATTACGAGAGCTGCTTTGATTCTATGGAGCAGTTAAGTGAGAGGTCCTTTCTCACATCCAGGTTCAAAGCTGTGGCCTCAGCTCAACATTTGCTTTGACTTTACTGACAGAATGTGCGAAAATTAAACAAAACTCAACAGTAACTGGTGTTTGATGAGGAAAAAATGGGTTGAACTGGCTTAAAGATAGCATCAACCTAACAGCAGTTTAGTTTAGTGTAGCTAACTTTGCTCAGCTAACGCCAACAACTTTTAAAACAAAGGAAAGTGGATAGTTGTGTTATAAAAGATTAATTATACGGACTGTACTTTTGTCTGTAGCTTTAGCCTGGACCCGGAAGTGCAGTACTTTCCGCCATCACTTAACAGCCCCATAGGAGAGAATCTATAAATGGAATCAATTCAGAATGGGATATTTTGCGTAGTTATGACTAGATTTGCTTCACAGCACAGCAAATAAAAGTCCACACTATTCCCGTGATGCGTATTCATGCACGTTTGGCGTGTATCAAAGTTCTTTATGCTGTGTGTGATGGTTTTGTACTCACCAACACCCTCACAGCACCGCTAGCTAAACTCCTGCCATAGTCCCATGTGATCTTTTTGTATCAATATTTGAGGGTACTTAAAAGTGCGCTGCCCAACTGCCAAACGGTCAGAGCACGAGCTTTGTTAATGATAAGCACTAACGAAGCCTCACTGCTGTCCAAATAACATGGAAATAACGCAGACAATGCTAAAAGCAATGCAATAGATGAACACAAACAGACTCGACCTATCAGCCTCTAACTAGCTGTTAGACAATTCTTTCGTCTTAAGTTTCCAGTAACATGCTACCCAATAGAAAGATGAATAATATCGGATGAAGACAGCCGACGGGCTCAGTTCACAAAATCAGGCGAGCTAGTCAACTGTTAGCTACAACCTGTAAAAATAATATGAATACTCAGTGGACAAACAGGTGACCATAGACTGTATATAGATGGACAATGCTAACCTCCTGGCTCTATGAAGCCCAATAAGGAAGTGCCCATGGACAAAGTTTTGGTCCAACTCGCTCTGGCTTCTTTAGCACTTTCCATGATCCTGGTGTTGAAATTTTGACTTTGCAAATCCAGAAATGAGCCATATGAGGATAGATCAGACACTTTTATCCGTGGGGGAAAACTCCAGCTTGCCTTAGCAACTGTCTTAGCAACACGTCTGCCTTTGTTACACAGGAACAATGGCCCAAATTGGCTTCTTCCGCATTCGGCTAACTCTTTGGTGATGTCACACTCAATCCGCCTATATACAGTCTATGGTGAAGATCAGAGAACGCTAGTGGTGAAGCATAATACATTCCAATCAAAATAAAAACAGGTTTTAGATCGGTTAATTTAACTTAAAACTTTAAAAACCTAAACGTTACTCTCTCCCGTTTAGTGTGGTTAATTATACGAACATAACGCAACAACTCTTAAAACAAAGGCGAGGACAGAGAAGTATTGAGGAAAACTTTGGTGTACGATGTCTCTTGTGCACTGAGCCCATTGCCACACACCCGATTAGCTAAAGTTAAACAGCGCACCTTTATTGCCAACCTGACTCATCTCAGAATCTAGTCAAAACTCCCCGAAAACGAGCTCTGAATTGACTCCACTCCACGTCTTTTCCGCCTTCACTCCCCCGCACCCTGCTGCTTTTGAATGTACGGGTTCTCCAAGAGGTATCTGTACCTCTCGTAGTGGTCTAGCATGTAGTGCGGAGCGAACATGTGCTCTTTGGGGTCTGCGGGGGGGTATTCCTGCAGGGAGCCGTCGAACCAGCCCCCGGTGCGGATCAGCTGCCTGATGTAGTTGAGGTCTCGCTTGTCCTCGTAGTCCCCCCACCGCGGGAAGTCTCCGTTCTGCGCCGAAATTAGCTTAAAGTAAATGCCCTCCGGAGAGAAGCACCAGGAGCAGTGCCAGCCGGCGAAGTGGATGGGGCTGCCCAGGGACCACTGCACCAGGATGTGGCCCGTGTCGTTTTCGTACCTGGGGAGAGAGACGCCATTTCAAAAGTTATTATAAGTGAAAACACCACAATCAATCAATTCTAAGTTGAAGCCTAAACTCCCACAGAAAATGGAACCATTTCATATCCATATTAGACGCTCCCAAAATGGTTTGGTTCCATACCTTTGCGTTTTCCCACGCATGTATTATTGGCCTCGTCACAGCATTAGAACAGTTTTTCCAGCGTCATTCAGCCAATCAGCTCTCAGCACAAAACTGTCAGAGTGACTCACAGGGCCTTCTTACACAAAAGTGAAGGTTTTCTACTGAGATGAAGACAGCACGTGGTATCCCGATTTGGTCAAGCCTTTTCTCTATTATTTAAGAATAACAGAGAATAGAGAGTAGAGAAGATGCACACATATATAAACCTATATCAATGATACAAATAGACCTGACATGGGGGGATTTTATTTACTTTACCCAATCGCTAAAAACACCTTTCTCAGCGGAAACCTTTCAGTTCAGTGACAATTAAATATGAATGGTTGCTCGTTTGGAGCACAAAGACAATATTGAAGTTTCCTAATGGAACATTCACTGAGCACAATGCAGGGCCAAATTTTTGAAAAACTTCCTTGAAGAAGTTCCCAATGGAAAGGAGAGCATTCTCATTATTATTACTATAATATTGTGTTAGTCTGTTGACATGCGTACCTGCGGAAGCCCGGCATTGTGTAGTACTCGCGGCGGCGCAGCTTGATGCCGTCACAGTCGTAGACGTCGCGCAGCATGCCAACGGTGCAGCCTGAGATCACCTCCAGAGAGCCAAACTGCTTCCAGAAGAACCCATACAGCGACTGCAACAAGCACAGAGGAGGTGAGGGCACGCCCGACACTGTTGTTGCAGAACAACATTCCAATCCAATTGGTGTGTTGCTAGAAATCAAAACAAAAGTAATCTCTGGGGACTTAACAAAGTTGTTTATTTGACCAACATTATCAGAGAATCAAACCATTTGCAAAAATAACAAACACATAGGTCCATAGAGAGCGAGATAACCACTGTCCATGAAGTTAATACATCTCCATAAATGTCCCTTAATATCCCAGATCAAGGAATTCCTCAAAAAGTAGGACTGAGGCTGTTCAGTGCAGGACGGAAGAGGCTCCCAGGCAGGAAGGGAAGTGCAGCTAACCCACTACAACAAAGATGAATTTAATACAAATAAATAAAAGAATCATAATCATTAAGTACATTTTTTTTAAATTATATATATGTCTTATGTATATGGATGTATATATATGTATATGTTTGTGTGTATGTGTTAATATGTATGTATGTATGTATGTGTATATGTATATACACATATATATAATATATATATATATATATATTTTTTTTTTGTATACATATTTTTTGTTGTAGATTTATTTATTTTTGATAAAATGATGTGTGTGTATATGTGTGTGTGAGGGAGGGGGTGGGTTAAGGGGGGATGGGAGGGAGGGTTTGGGATAATTGGTATTTTGTTTTTTTTCCCTCCTTTTTGTTTAATATGTTATGAGACAAACAAATACCAAATAAATACAATTAAGAAGAAAAAAAAATAAAGGTGAATTTGATACTCAAATTAAGGTACTCGTAACAGTTAAAAAGTTGGTTTTGGTGCATCCCCGGTCTGCGGCATCCCTTTGGTGCAATTAATTTCTTAATGTTTGCCCTGAGATTATTACATTTTCTACCAAAGTCAAAATATCTGTTCTTCAGTTAAAACAATTCCAATGCGGGTCTATACCTTTCGCATGTGAAGGGCAAAGGGCTCGGTCCATCCGTCGAACAGCTTGAGGAAGAGCAGTCCCTCTCGTGCCGGGATCTCGTCTGCGTCGTTGATGACAAAGACGTCGTCTGGCCGTAGCCCCTGTACTCGCGACATGCCGTTGCGTGTCAGGAACGTACGCAAGTAGTCATCCGCAATCCAGCCGTCCTGCCGCCCGCCATCAGGGAAGTGGTCCAGGAACACGTACAGCAGCTTGTGTCGCACATAGTCGTACGTGCCGTTGAGCAACCGCTGGAGAAATCTGATGGAAGCACAAGAGTAAGCCAGTTAAAGGGGTGTGTCTCCAGGGCGTTGGAGAGTCGGGGACCAGGGCTTTCAAACGCTTTAAGTTGGGAAATGCAGTGTTCCCGCCTGATCAGCAGATAAAAGACTTGTGGTGGATATAGAGTAAAATATATATAGAGTGCTGTAACCTGTGTTACCCCTGTTATTGATCGAGGTAAAAAATAAAATAAATTAAACACAAACGCATGCAATGAACAAGCCACACACGGTGGTGATACAGCTGCAGCGCGAGGAGAGATTAAGACACCTCCTGTCTGCACTCACAAGTCTCATTTAAGGCCAACATTATGTGCAACATGTGTGCATCTCGAAGCCGCGGGCGCAATCACATGAAAGTGTTGCAAGGCTCCATCTGCTCCGCGGCCACATGTGGATGGGATCTTTGTCAATGAAGTTGACATAAAACATAGTATTTGGTTTGAAGCAACACCAAATAGTGTTTTTTTTAATGCACTGTGTAGTGGTAGAGAAGTGGTCCATGCAGGTCAAATGTTTGACCAGAGTGTGAGACTTACCCCAGGGGGCGCCTCTCTCCGTAGGCCGTGAAGTTGGACTCGCACACAATGAAGAGGTCCACGGCCTGCGACAGCTCATGGAAGCGTGCGTGCAGCAGGTCGAACTCATGGTTGATGTTGATAGCGTTGATTACCCGCCGTGGGATCTGTCGCGGGGTGAGGCGCTCCTTGGTGGGCAGGTTAGAGTGGTAAACCATGGTGGGCACGCCGCAGTAGGGGCCGTGCCAGCCGGGCCGACACACGCACTTCACCAAGCGTTTACCTGCAGCACGTCCTCTGCCTTTGGCTTTGGGAGTTTTGGACGACTGCACCTGCGCAGAAGTCACTAGTGTCAAAACATTTATACAGTATTCAGTGGGTTACTAATACAACATAGTGTCGTGTTTACAACCATTTAACACAGATTTATTTAGTCTTTTGGGGTATGACTCTTTTTGCATTAGGGCCAACAAGTTTTGATCTCATCTGACCAAAGCACCTTCTTCCACCTGTTGGAAGTGTCCCCCATATGACTTCTGGCAAACTTCAAATAGGATTTCTTATGGCTTTCTTTCAATAATGGCATTCTTCTTGCCACTTGTCCATACAGTTCAGACCTGTGTAGAGGTTGACTAAAAACTCGACAATCGCTGTGACAGTGTCTTGGTGAGTTTGAAGTGTTGCCATAAATCTTTGCATAACTTAGTACTCTTTTAACTTCTCCACAACCTCCACCCCAAACTCTGACCACTCTGGTGTGCTCCTTGACCTCCATGATATCATTTAGTGACCACTGCATTGCAACCATAGCTATGAGGCCCTCACAGAACAGCTGGAATTATACTAAGATTAGATTATACTTCTTTGTGTCTTTACTTAATCTTTGTGAACAGGAGTGCAATCGATCAATCATTTTTATTTATGGAGCCCTTTACAACACTCAAGGCGACCAAAGTGCTTCAAAATATCATAAAATCCATTAAAAAATTGATGCATTTAAACAATAAAATAGTTAAAAAGCATTAAAAAAGTGTCACTGCGCTATTGAGTGATAAAAGTGTTACAAGCCAGTCTGAATAAATACGTTATGATCCTCGATTTAAAAAAGCCTGTCAAGCCGCAGGGGCCGCTTGTTCCAGAGTCTGGGTCCAGCGACTGAGAAGGACCTGTCACACCAGTGTTTGCACCTAGTCCTAGGAACTCCCAGCAGGAGTTGAGATGAGGACCTCAATGATCTGCCCCATTCACGAACAGTCAAAAGTGCAGTCAATAGGAAGGCTTTTAAATGTTTAGTTTTAAAATATTAACAAAATCATGAATTATTTTGTTTTCTACCAAGAGTTGTCTGTTACTTGGTTGTGAACTCAGAATATGGAAGTAAAAACGACACAATGTGCTAGAGTTCTAGATGTATTAGTACTTTTGCAAGTCACTGGTCAGTTCAAACAGCTCTATCTGCTTTCATTCAGTCGTGGCGTGTAGAGTTAAAACAGTTCTATCTTTTTTGGTTGCCTTACCTGCGCAAGCTTGCGTTGAGCAGCCCCCGTGCTCTCCACCGCGCCGTTTACAACTGCTCCTCCGCTGGCTCCACCGCCAGTCTTCCCGGCAGGCTCTTTGGGCGTGGCAACCTCAGTGCCCTGCCTAAAGCACAGCGCTCCGGCTTTGGTGTGAGCAAAGAAAAGCGTGGAGTCATCCTGCAGCTGGATGGGGCGCTTGTGCAGGTCCCCCATGGCGCCCACCGCATCCCAGGTTGCATCTTTGGGAAACAATAAGCCACCGTGTTTGGGAGGCGTGGGAACGGGCCGCTCTGAAGAGACCTCCTGCAAACACAGGTGTCATATAAGAATATAGATAACTCAAAACATGCATTCATCCCCTTGAAACTTTGAGTGTGAAAATAACAAGAGAAAACTATTAAAACATTGACACAAGCTTAGAAAAGTGAATTCATAAGGGAAAGTAAGTTATGTTTATTTATATACCGCCTTTCACAGACCAGCGTCACAAAGCGGTTTACAATTGTTATTTTTTGGGCACTTGTCTCTGACTCCACACAGAGATGGGAGCGGGGTCGCCAGTACAGGAGGCACATGCCAGAACTATTGTACATATTTTTAGTGGTAGGGGAAACCGGTAATGGCTTATGGTTAAGATTACTGATGCTGCAGACTATGGTAAACAAGGAGACTACTGTTCTGCAGAATCCATTCATTAAGGTAACATGGAACATTTGGGCAGTATAACTTATTGAATAAAGACATCCCAATGACATCCCTTCAGGTTCGGTCCTGGCAACATCAAATTCAGGCCTACCACTGGTATCATCTACTGTATACCAAAGTGGTTCCCATGGTGGGGGTCCAGAGATGATTTCCATTTTTAAAAAAAGAAAAGAAGTGGATAAAACATACAACCCTTAAAAATGTGATGTGATTAAATATGACTACTTGTTAAATTGTGTTTGGAGAAGAGTATGATGAAAATATAATATATTTGAATTCAATTTGTAATTTTTTTCCAGACAATACAAGATTACAAAAGCATCAATCAAAATCAAGTTGCGTAGCTTACATCAGGCGTGTTCTGCTGTTGTTTGCTAAAGCTAAAGGTGTTTTTGAGGCTGCAAACAAATAATACCTGCTTTAAAATGAAACGTTGGTAAATAAAGGCAGAACATCGCCTTTTTTCTTCCTGGAATCCAGGAAAGACCCAAATAGAAGTGCAGCCGAGGCATATTTAGTCTATTTGGACTCAAGGTAAGACGCTGTTTTTTAGTCAAGGCCAAATTAAGCCTGGAACCCTCAGTGAGGTCTCTGAACTACCTCAGACTACCCTCCAACACTGAAGTGTTTGTGTGCATGAACAAAAATCAGGAAGGCAGGAGTGCATTTATCATGGGGGTTGCAGGCTAAACATTTGGGAACCCCTGATTTATACAGTCGACGTAATTCGCTGAAAACACAATTTGAAAAAACCCTGATTCTAAAGTGGAAAGATCTTAAAACTTTACACTTTTCTGGACAAAGGAAATCTGGCCTTCATCCCATAAGGTCACAGCGCCACCAATAGGTACGGCATAGTGTCACAGCATTTTCAGGTGTGTTGACTTCATTTACATGGACGCAAACTCTGTTTACATGGTGTGGAAGTAGCCTTAGAGGGCATTTTGTGGGTCAGAAACTTTTTAAAGTGAATGTCAAATGTGAAGTGACTTCAAATGCAACGTCCTATGCTCAACCCCTTTCTTATTGACATTGAAAAAACATGACAACTTTGTTAAGTTCTTCTAGACTACTGTTGTTTTGATTTCAATTCCTATTTTAGTATATACATTACTATAACAATCAATCAATGTTTATTTCTATAGCAAAGTTCATACAGAATGCAACCCAAAGTGCTTCACATTGGCAACATTTAAAAGCAATTTAAAAACACACTGTAAAAACAAATCCAAAAGACAGTTTAAGAAAATGAATAAATATATACATCAAAAATGAAATTATGATCCGATTTCCTGATGATTAGTCGTAGGCACGGCTGAAAAGAACCGTTTTCAGCCTGGACTTGAACATAGCTAAAGTAGGAGCCTGTCTCACACCTTCAGGAAGACTGTTCCAGATTCTAGGTGCATAGGTCTGGAACGCTGCCTCCCCATGTCTAGTCCCAACTCTGGGCACTAACAGGAGGCTAGTCCCTGTGCTCCTCAGAGTCCAGGCTGGTTCATATGGGACTAACATGTCACTAATATATTTTGGTGCGAGGCCATGGAGAGACTTGTACACAAGTAGAGCTGTTTTAAAGTCTATTCTCTGAGCCACAGGAAGCCAGTGCAGAGACCTGAGAACTGGACTAATATTGTCGTACTTCCTGGTTCTAGTCAGGACTCGAGCTGCTGCATTTTGAATGTACTGCAGCTGTTTTCCAGCCTGTTTGGACAGACCTGTGAGCAGGCCATTGCAGTAGTCTAACCTACTAGAAACAAAAGCATGAATGACAATCTCTAAGTCTGCCTTAGACATTATGCCCTTAATTCTAGCAATGTTCTTTAGATGGTAGAAAGCCGCTGATGTTACAGATTTAATGTGACTATTCAAATTGAGGTCCGAGTCCATGATCACTCCTAGATTTCTAACCTGATTTTTGTAATTTGGAGACAGCGAAAAGGATGGGAGAAGGCTGCACACACTTGCTCTGAGTTTCTGTGGGCCAAACACAATAACTTCAGTTTTGTTTGAATTTAACTGAAGACAATTATTTTGCATCCAAGTATCAATCTGTTTGATGCCGTGACAGAGTGACTCAACTGGCCCAAGTTCACCCGCAGCCAGTGAGACATAAATTTGCGTATCATCTGCATAATTGTGATAGGATACATTTTGGCCTCGAATCAATTGACATCTATTATATCTAGTCTATAAAATACAGATTAGTGTAAAATACAGATAATGTAATTTTTCAGAATAGTTTTTCCTCCAGAACGACATGGTTGATGGAGCTTTGACATGAAAGCACACTAACCTGCTGGCGGTCCTGTCCCTCCACGGGCCTCTCCCATGGGCGCGGTGGTGCGGGCTGTTCCTCCAACCTCACCTCCAGCCCCACGCTCACCACCTCCCCCGCTTCGCCCACGGCCACCCCCTGTATGCCCAGAGATGCCTTCGGAGACACCACTTCAGCTCTGGGCTCCACACGCTGTGGCTGCTGCTGATGCTGCTGTTGCTGGACCGGGTCCTCCGGAGAGGCTGGACTCAGGGGGGTAGAAGCCAGGCCCCGCTCCCTCCAGAAGAAGCCCGTGGTCAGGATGAAGGACTTGAAGGGGTAGGGGGCCGTGAGCTCACGCAGGGAGACATAGTGCAGGGCTTTGTAGTAGTGCAGGAAGGAGATCACACACAGCCCCACCGTGCAGAGCAGGAAGACACGGTGACGTCGCATCTTATCCTGCAACCACAGCAACCACACACATTGGGGGTTATTCATCTGTATGGATGCTAGGGCTTCCACAGACTTAAACATTCTGAGAAGCGGTTTTATGACGCAGATAATTCTACAATACATAAATACTGTAGATACTTTATTGATCCCTGTAGGAGAAATTCAGGAAGAAACACAGCAGCAGAAACACTTGCATTCATACAAACATATAGATAATACAAATACAAATAAATATATAATTTTAAAAATAGCTAACAACAGTATTAAAATGCAACAGCACTTTAAGTCACAGCAGCAAAAGTGGAGTAGCCGCTTGGTTAAGACCATTTTCTCTGCTCTAATCCAATGTAAAAAGCTAAATTAATTTTTCAAGAACTAAGCATTCCTCCAGTGGCATTTCACCTGATCCACTTGGTTCGGACCATGAATCCTCTCTGCTCTGGTCCGGACCAGAGATTAACCATGAACACTGCACTGCATCAACATCTCAGGTAGAAAAAAGTAAGAATTATAAAACACAAAACAACCGTTTCAGAGCTACTTGGGACTAACTGTCGTTTCCAGAGCATTCAAAAGTAAACAGTGTTGACTCCAGAATGTAATTAAAATGTGTTTATTAAGTATTTTGAATAAAACGACTAAATCTCTAAGAAGATGTTTCAGATTCAGACTACTTTATTTATCCCACCAGGGGCAATTAGTTTGAACAGCATGGGGCATAAAAAAGCAACAACAAAAAAACCACACGAACAGAAACAATCAATTTGATATGAAGTCAAATTTGTTACCGTTTTTTACTATCGTTTTGACGGTCGGTTATGTCCCCTGTTCGGGAATCATAAGAATTGCTCAAATGTCGTAGTTTTACAATGTTCAGACTTCAGATAGTTTTCCATTCTGTCCGCACACGGTGATGAACACACTGCGCATCAAAGACCGCAACAAACACCATCCATTCACTCACTCATTACATCCATACCTATTGTGCATGTTTTAAGGGTTAGGGAAAACCGGAGCACCCAGAGGAAACCTACGCAGACACAGGGAGAACATGCAATTAAACACAGAAAGACCTGGAGGTGGAATTGAACCCAGGACCTTCTTGCTGTGAAGCACAAGCTCTAACCGTGCCAAGTCCCAAGTCTCTCGACAGTCACTTACACAAACAACATCTATCATTCCACTTCAGCGTTTCTGGAGAAAACGTGCAAATGTTCAAGCTCTATTGACACTTTCACAAGGCATATATATAATGACATATATTTATAAAATACATGTATATTATATGTAATTGCAATGACACTTTTATTTCATTATTACTTCTGTAAAATGTTATCTGTTTACTACACATGCTGTTGGACGAACGGGAGAGCTGTGTGAGGCTCTGAGCACGCTCTGGGCAGAAGCAGGAAGTGCAGACAGGAAGTGCAGACAGGAAGAGCACAGAGTCATATGAGGTCGCATGTGCAATGAGAGCCACCAATAACACAAAGAAGACAGAACATGCTTCTGCAAGAAATAGAAAAGTTTCGCGCAAAAATGCCTGAGCAACACTGCCTGAGCAACACTGCCAAATCCTCAGCTGAGCACAGACTGTGTGACCAATGTGAAGATCTTTATCAACATGCACAGCTAGACTCCAGACTGGATTTGATCTGATATCACCAGGACTGGACTGGGGGAAGTCTCATTACATCCACTACACCGTTGACACAACATTCATTCATTATTAAAGCAACTTGTTTAAACATTATGCGCCATATGCGTTACAATTACTTATATACATTCTAACGCACTACTTTAAGCCTACTTACGATAAGACAAGATAGACTTTATTGATCCCACACTGGAGACATTTACAACGATCACATTAAAAATAACTATTTAATACAAGCAAACAAAGCTCAGCAGAACTCACTGGCATAAGTTTCGTAAGGTAGAGTATATGAACTACACCAGGTCCAAAGCTAGACTAGAGCGGCTGAGCCTTTGAATGTAACCCAGATTCCATCACTGCAGAAATGTCTTGATGATGTAAAAGACTGGACGTCTATCAACTTTTTAAACTTGAATGACAAGAAAACAGATTGTGTTGTTTGGTGAACCTGATCTGTCTGTTTTCAATGGTGTGTGTAGCCTGTCTTCTTACTGCTGCCCACATGCTAAAAATCTTAGTGTGTATTTTGATGGTGCTTTTAAAATGGAAAAAATAAGAGCTGTTGTCAAAGCCAGCTTCTTCTAGTTGAGACTTTTGGCCAACGCTATCTCCCACCAAATGACCTTGAGAAGGGTGTCCATGCCCTCATATCCACACGGCTGGACTATTGTAACTCCCCCCCGCTCCCATCTCTGTGGAGTGAGAGGACAAGTGACCAAAAATAACAATAGTAAACCGCTTTGTGACTCTGGTCTGTGAAAGGCGGTATATAAATAAAGATTACTTACTTACTTAACTCTCTATGGCCTTGACCAGTCCTCAGTTCACAGACTGCAGCTGGTACAGAATGCAGCAGCTCGGATCACGACTGGCACCAGACGACACGAGCACATCACTCCTGTGCTGTCGTCTCTACATTGGCTTCCTGTCGCTTTTAGAATTAAATTTAAAATGTTATTGTTAGTATTTAAATCTCTGCATGACCTGCCTCTGTCATATCTGACTGACTTGCTTACTTTGCACACTCCGGGAAGAGCACTGAGGTCCTCTGACCAGCTTCTTCTGCACTGTCCCAGGTCTAGACTAAAGACCAGAGGAGATCGAGCCTTTGCTGTGGCAGGGCCTAAACTCTGGAACGCTCTCCCTTGTGTCAGAGCTGCCTCCTCTGTAGAGAGCTTTTATTTTATACAATAATCTTACAATAAATGTGAAACTTTCTGGGGACTGAAATGTAGCAACAACAAACAAAAATAGCATGCAGCAATTCACACAGACTGAATTCTTTTAACTCATAAACTGCATAAATATGTTTCTTAAAATGCTCTCCACGTTTCCTGGTCATTTCTTTTGACATTTTAATGCAAATTAAGATTTTTCCGTTTGTACTCAGTCACAGTCTTGATGATCCTTTTAGATCCTAGTATAACTCTGGCTAAACTCCGGATCGGCCGATAGAGCCCGCATGTTGCATAAAACTCAATGCGCACCATCACATGCCATTAACTATTGTGTACTTACGTAAAGTTAAAATATAAAAAAACAGGTGAAAATATAAACTTTCATACTGTCACTTTCCTCTATTCCCTTTCAGTTGACAGCCTGCATGGATGTCCTCACCCCCATCACCCTCTCCCTTAACACAGACTTCACAGGCCTTACTGAGCTGGAGCAGTTCCAGACCCAGCGTGTTTATTCTCCATGTGCGCTGTTTGTGAAGGGTGCAAGTAAAATTTCCCCACTGTGGGAAGAATAAAGGAATTCTTATCTTATCTTAAAGGCAGCGAGTGAGGCGTGGTGGCAGCAGTCAGAAGCTCAATAGGGAGCAATGTCGTCTTAGGTGTAAGATACTATAAATGGCTCAAACATCCATAAATCGCTCCAAAACAGCTGGTGAGAACTTTGTGGAGGAGTGCAGGAAAAATCAACTGCAGTCAATCGTCCAGAAAACCAAGGAAATGGTTTTGGACTTCAACCCCAAGTGCCAAGGCAAATACCTGGGACTATAGCTGGAAAACAAACTGGACTGTGTGGCAAACAGAGACTACCCCTGTGATGCTGCTCCAGCCTCAGGAGAAAGAACATTAACTGGTTCAATAAGATTGTCTCTGTGGTGGGGCAGACGGCAGAGGCGGCAGAGCAGAGAACATAGGAACACCCTCTACATGAGGCCTCTGCTGCCCCAGCGATGCTCCACTAGATTGAAACAGTCCTTTGTCCTTCGTGCTGTTAGACTACAGGGGGAGGGGCAGATATTGTGAGATATAATGCAGTTTTTGTCTGTCTGCCCATTTATTTAACATGTCACAACATTGCTCCTTCATTAAGAACAGAGCAGAGTGTGTAATGCTGTGCACTTATAAACTACATCACAGTTCACTATTCAGCCCCTCGACCACCCCGCTCATCCTCTCCACACTCAGCTGCTCTTCAGAACTTGCTTCTGCATGTTCTAGGTGAAACAAGAATCCAGAGGAAACTAACCCAAACACAGAAAGAATAAGCAAACTCCACACAGAATGGAGGTCCAAACAATAAAAGTTCTGAGTGCAGTAGCAGTATCCATTACAGTGGTCCCAGGTTTACATTCTGAAAATAAGCTACATCTGCAAAGTAGCAACTATCCGTTTCAAGATATCAAACCTGTTCATTGTAAGTCTGAGAGCGGCTGCAGCTGTCACAAGCCGTGCATAGACTGCGCTGAGGGGCAGGAGCAGGACTGAGAGCTCCGGGAAGACCGCAGTAGTCCTTTGAACTAATCATTGTGATAGACACAAACCACAAATGTTTGCATCTGACTTTGACTAAAAGTTATGTGTTGTTGACCTGTTGAGTATACACACAGCACATGAGGAGCTCGCCGGATAAAGAGGAAGCAAAGACTTATATAACATCTACAGGAAACACTGAGGCAGTGAAAGGTGAACCTGGTGCGGGACCATTGTATTCATTTTAACTCCCAATTTCTGGATTTTGTTATATATAGTAGTAAATGTAGTTTCCACGTAAAGCATTTCAAGTTAAACGATTGAAGAAGATGACAAAGTCTGGGATCGTGTCTTTCATTCAGACAGAAGACATGTTTTATTGTCGAACACGAACACGACAGAATGCAAGTGTATTACACAGCATGGAGGAAGGCAGTCCTCCAATCAGCAGCTTCCACGGTGCCATAGCTCGGCCTTCAGAAGTCAAAACAAGACGACTCGTGCAAATGTGATAAGGATGAGTTTGAACTTTAACAATAGTTGCTTCAAAGTGTTATGAAATCTCACACAATATACAATTTAAAAAGGTTAAATTAAAATATATCTCTGACATCATGGACAGAGAGGTTTTCGATTTCGGTTTT